CTACAGAAAAATTTGTCACAAAAGTTTCTATTTTGCAACAACAATTGTTTTTGATTTCAAGTTCAAAGTTCTTGTAAATCTTCGTGTCTTTTGCATACTGTTCTCAGATGACAATCCCAAAACATAAATAGCCCTTTTCCTGTACTTTAAAAAAAATATTTTAAAAAAATTAATGGAAATAAATTGTACTTTGGTAACTAAGAGAAACAACCGCTTCCCCTTTTGTCTTCAAACATCAGTGGAAAGGAGCAAAGATTTGTGCAGAATAATAAACTTGGATTTAAATTGGATTGCATATCAAAACAGATTTTAATAAGAATTGCTTTATTTTTCTAGAATAACATCTTACCAGGACAGCAGAAGTATTTTACAACACAAAGCAAAATAAGTCAAGCTTTTATTTGTCATATTGGTTTTCACCCAAACTATTATGTTAAGAAACAAATACTGTTAAGTTTCGGTTAGTTGAACCCGAGATTTGATTTTTAAATGGATCATTTATCTTTTAATTTCAATACTTTTTACCATCACAGCTTTCATACAGAGTGTATCCAAAATGGCTTGACATGCTGTTTGTAAATAATGCAGTTAGAGTGAGATCCTGTTGTTCTTTGAACTCCTTAAAAGCTTCTCCAGCAGTTTCAGGTTAGAATTAAATAAAATAAGACAGGGGAAAAAAACGTCCACACTTGTAAAAAAGGACTCAGTAATTTAAATCAAGGTTTCCTGCACATTGATTTAAATCATTATTAAAATTGGTGATTTAAATAGCTGATTTTAATCAACCCACCTTTCTAAACAGTGGCTTCCAAAACAAGGTTTCTTAGCACAGGTTATGGAAAACCTCAATCATGTCATTAAAAAAAAAAATCCCTTAAGCTAAATCAGAAATTGGGATGCTGCATATCAAGTGCCGTAACTCAGCTCCCTTTTATCTACACAGCATTATGTGCACCTTACTGTATCTGTATAATCAAGTAAATTAGATGTGCACGGTATGGTGCAAGGATCGTACTATCACAAAGCATGGTATTTCTGCTCTACCTAGGACTGTGCACTGGAGGTAAAAGCCACTGTTTTTAAATGCGCCAAAACAATATCATAATAACTCAACAAAGGGAACTCCTTCGTTATTTATAACAGAAGTCCTGCGCTATCCAAGCCAAGTTAGGTGAAAGTTTGCCTGGATTTTGTTTTGTGGTTGTATTTTATTTCTTTAGATATTGCACAGATCTCTTCCTCAATCTGAGTTCAAAATAACAGCATGGTGCATTGAACCCAGAAGTAAAATTCAGTGAAATCACAAATCCTTGCAAGATTTGGGCCTATCTGGTAAAATGCTGGGGGTTCAGATATTATGGTCTTCTAGAAAAGCCTAAGTTCACACAGCTTCCACCTTGTGTCATGAATGTGTGCAGTGCTCAGGCAGCGCCCCGCTGACTTCAAAAGGGCTGTGCACAGGGGGATTTCTATAGTTCTCAATGCAGGAGTACATCCTTAGTTTGCTACAAAGATATATAAACCTCAGCAACTTGGCCTGATTTACAGCTTCATTCCAAGCATTTCACATGGATCTAATGAGGCCTGATACAAAGAGTTATTCATCATACCCCTAGCAAAGCTCATTCCGGAGATGGGAGTTCTGCGGACAAACTCAAAGTAGGAGAAAAACATATTTACAAACACACGCATAAGCAGCAGCAATTTTTGTGTCAGGTTTGGCTTTCCTGCCTTAATGCCAGTTTTTGATGCAATGACTGCTTCTGAAAACAGCATCTTTATTTGTGTTTTCTTTCTTATTCCTTCTATTTGTACCTAGCTGCAAGCACAGCACAGTAATTCAAAGAAAGATATAGAGGGAATCCAATTAAAGCAAAATAGTATGTAAAATGCCTTTTATAAAGTTAGGGGTGTACTTGGTAGCCGTGTGGGTCTGAGATAAGAAGACGTACAAAAAACTAGAACTCTTGGTTCCAAAATGATACTTTTTATTAGACCAACTGGGAAATCACAAGAAAACTGTCCTTTATAAAACTGTCCTTTTATAAAGTTAGGCATTAAATAGTTTATGCAAATTAAAATATAAGTTCCCACACGGGCGAATGTCTGCATAATGCAAGAAAGTTTCAAGATTTAGGACTGTGCAGAATGGTATTTGAACAAGACATCAGAATAAAAAGAAATCAATGAGATCTGAAGCATCTTGGCGAAAAGCACTGTAAGTTCCTTCCTTTCAGTGGGAGGAGATTTTACAAAGTACTTTAAGAGTTAATCCAAAATAAACCTCCCAGTGAATAAATAAGGCTTACCAGGTCTGAGGCATACCTGCTGACGGCATTTTACTGCACTGTGCTGGGCAAACGGCATTTGCATCAGTATATGTAATGGAAGATATCAACACATTGTACTGATAGAAAACCAGAGACCAAAGGTCAACATTTCTCTAACAAAAAAGAATGTAAGTTTACAACGAGCACCATTACACATCCTTTTTTGGGGATGATTTGAAGGCATCTAAACTGAGGAAGCATCTGTCCTTGGGTTTAAATGGAATATTTGAAATCCAAGCATGGTAAGTTTCACAACCTGCTAGCTTCCTGTTCATGTTTCATTGCAAAGCCCTGTACGAACTCCATCATATAACATTCACCGGCTGAAAGCAGAAAAACCTGAATATTGTCTTTGTTCTAGCAGAGCCTGCCAGGTCTGCGAAGCATTAAGGGTGCGCGGCGAGAGACCTACCAGCCGTTGATCTCATTCTGGGAGTTGACATCCACGCCAAGGGACACCAGCCTTTGGACCTCCTCGAAGTCCCCCACTGCAGCTGCTTCTCTCAGTCTCTCCTGCTGCTCTTTTTCTTCCAAAAGGGCACTCATCTTCCCACGGTCTCCTTCTCCTGACATGGGGGATCCGTTGCACTGAGCTGTTTACGGAGGGCAATTTGGCATTTTCTAAAGCTGACACCCTGAAGCAGCAAGTCCCAGATTGGCAGGATTAAATGAAGCCTGCCAAACCAAAAGTAGCCCTCAGTCTTTTAATTTTAATCAGCTCCAGCTTACTTTTTCTGCATGTTATGTTTAAAATCAAAGACAGCCAGGCATTTGCAAAGGCGATTGCATAAGTATGTCTAGGCTGTTGCTGGTTTCCTAAACTCTTCTCAGGGGGACTGTATTATCTGTGACAACTCTGACCTAGATATTTAGTTCCTACTAGCAGTCCTGCCTGTGAATCACGGCTGCTGCTGTCTTATTAGCTATATACTGCCTCAGCTATGTATTTAGGCTGCTACTTGATTATTTTTCTGGTACTAGCATGCATTGTAATTTAATCTACAGAAAAATGTATAAGGTGCAATACCTTTCATCCCAACAGTCTTTATTCTGACATCCTCTCCCCCACCGCAAACACATACCCTTTCACAAATTATTCTGTCCTGGCAGCTCTCGGCACTTATATGGTAGCACACTGAAGTCAATGAATCTTTATGCAAGAACAGAGGTCTGCTTTATAGAACGAGGGGCATGTCTACACGTGCATTTAAGTGTGACTAAATGTAATGTGCATTAAGCAAATGCACAGTGATTTTTGGCAGGTGGCTACACGTGCAGAGACTTGGCACGAAACTTATGTGCCCCTAGTAGCTGGGCAGACCCAGCACTGAAGTTAGCGCATCTACATGTGCATTTATGCGCTTTAACAAACCATGCCTAAATTTGATACCTGCATTTGCAGGTATCAAATTTAGGCACGGTTAACTTAATTTCGCCATTTTTTAATGCACATTAAGGGCGCGCACATGTAGATTAATGCGCCTCGTGTAGATGCGCCCGAGGACTGACGCTGTGTTTTCCTAGAATCAAATGCAAGTCCAATCTCCCCTTATTGGGTTTTTTTTCGGACTACAGCATTAATTTCTGTGTGTTCTTCTCCCGTATGTCTTATTATTTGACTTAGAAAACTATTCTGTTACACAATATAAGTAAAAATAAACCCTACCCACGGGTCCAGCTAAATTACATCGTGCAGCTTCATGTTCTTAGTGGTGTGGGAGTTCCTGAATGGCTCAGAAATTTGCAATAGACAATCTGAGTCAGTGTTATGGCCCTTTTACACCTTTGGAGCAGCATGGGGGAAAAATTTGGCTCGTAGCATTTGTTTTAAAATAGTAAATATTAAAGGGGCAAATCCTTATGCTTATTAATAGCCCCATTAAAGGCAATGGGACCCCAACAGTAAGGATTACTCAACTGAATAACTAACAACATATTTGATAGCAATTTGTGGTGCTATAGAAGACAGTACCTACCTATGACTTGGGCGACTATATGTCCCGATTTGGCCAGGACAGTCCTGGATTTCACAGGTCCTGGCTGGTTGTTGCAAATTGGAACAGAGGTCCTGGAAAGTCCCAGAATTGCAGGGGCACGGGGCACAGTTCA